ATATGCTCCCTCAAGAGGCTAAAAATGGCCCTTTTCAAGGACAACAAGGAGAGGGGTGGCCCTATCCTTCTTGGGACCTCAAGGCACCATCCTCACCTCTGAAATCCCTCCAGATTTCAGTGGTGAGGAGGCCCAAACACAATGATCCCGGAGCTCAACCAAAATGGCACAAAACAAAGGCCAAACAAGCATTAAGAGGGGTCAAACAACCTCAAAGCTTAAAACACCCTTAACAAACTATTTAGAGCAATGAAAAATAAGACTTTTATATGTTATATGCAAAGCCTAAAAATAGTTGCAAGGTAGCCAAAAATACTAAACAAAAATGGGGAATAAAAGGGAAAAGGACCTTACCATTGTAGACCCTCTTCAAGAGTGGAAGACCAGCAGCTTCTTTGGCTCAAACCAGCTCCAAAACTTCAAGAACAACCTCCAAGGGCCTCAGCTCCAAGAGGATGGTGTAACACTATGTGTTTGTGTGCAAAACTATGAACAAACACCCTAGAACACTCAAGGAAGAGAGAGATATAGAGATATGGTATGAACAAACCCTAACCCTAGAACTCAAAGCTTTGGAAATTTTTCCTAGAATGTCTAAGTTCCCTCCTCCTCTCTCTCTTTCTCTCTTCTTTTTCCTCTTCTTTTCTTTTGTTGATTGATATAGCTATATATCAATCTGCAGCTTCCTCAGAGCACCCACGTCTAGGTATGGGCTGGGGTATGGCCTTGAATGACAGCTGCCAGCTGTCTACAGGGATATCTGTTGAAAACCACATTTGGCCGGCCGGCCATCAAAGTGGCCGACCGGCAGTCAAATTGGCCGGCCGACCATCGCATTTGGCCGATGGCAACAAGACACAGCCGGTGGCCTCAAGCCACGGCCGGTGGAGTGTAGGGATGTCCCAAAAGCCATTCTCTGCCCTCCAAAGCAAAAACACAAGTGTTTGGTGCAAAACCAGACACAAAACGGTCCAGTCAAGAGATCCTGAGGCAAGGCGCGTAGCCAAGACCTCCGGGAACTCAAGACGAACGCATGGATGATCACCGAGTGTTCAAGCGGTGACATCCAAGTCTTGAGGACGGTCAAAAATAGGGTGTCTACATCGGTACTATAACTCACGGTTCAAGCGACGTCGCCTTGTAGATCGCACCTTCCCATATTTCTGCCACTTCTTTGATACTACCACGACAGGTCAGGTATTACACTATTTTCCACACAATTTGGTCACCCTTACACTGTTGTATTGTTGTATAGTACCATATTGTCATTCTCATACTGCATTAACTTTTGACATTGCACTAATTTTCTGACACCGTACGGCCATTCTAACATCGCACTGATTTTCTCATACTACACTGATATCTAACACTGCACTAATTTTCTCAGGTTGACTGGCACCCTTGGGCAGGTATTTCCCAAGTGTCGAGGGTGACCTACACTGCTGCTTGGCATGCTTCCACGATGAGGATCCTATTTGAGGGCCCTTTTGGTTGGACATATTACCTGGGAGAAAGATTTATCCAGCAAACTCTAGGCGTTGCTGACCCTGATATTCCACATCCTCCTCTTGCTGGCATGGGGGTAGTAGATGATTTATTAGATGGTCTTGAGCTAGACCTCCTGATGATAGGTGAGGACAACGATCGTCACCATGAGCCCTACGACTTTACGACTTTCTTTCACACTCAGGTGATGGCGCCTCTTACTCCAGGCATGGCTCGAGCTGTGCCAGAGGTTGCTGCTGCTGCTGCTGCTGCTGCTAGGGCTGGCGATGCGCCCATTGGAGGTGCCCCTGTTATTGCCTGTGCTTTTTACCAAGGTCGGATATATGCGTCCAGATAGTGTGATCAAGTAGATCCCACTTAAGCCCATCGAGAAGAGGGACCGTAGACTTGTGTTTGCCCCTGGTGTTGAGCACGTACATTTTCTTTTTATGCTAGTCCATGCTGGACTTTAACTTATTCTCAGCCATTACTGTTCACTGTTCAATTACTTCTATCTATTTTTCTCAGTTTATGTTCTTTTGCAAATTCCCCTGGTGTATGGTGACGAGCTCCTTTGGACGATCGACTAACTACTCATCATGGTACGGAAGAGGAAGACTGCCTTAGTCACCCACGGGATTGAGGTACATTTTTTGTGTAGCCTACTGTCATTGCCATATTGTACACTTCTGATCATTCTATCTGATATCTGATATATTTTTTAACTTGAGCTGGCGCCAGCAGTGCCTGCAGGACATTCCACAGTGAATAAGTGGAGACAAGGCCCAGTGAGAGACCGAAGAGGCATTGATCGAGGGAGAGGTTGAGTGTGGCAGCGCTCGCCTTCCGAGGACTCTTTTGATGGGTCCACGACCCCTGAGGATAAGGGAAAGGAGATGGACCTGTAGTTGAGCAGCCCTAGTGATGATAGCGATGCACCTCCTCCATAGCCGATGAGTAAGAGAGTGAGGATGGGCTACTGATAACGATGATGATTTTGCTTTTATTTCTCTTTTCCTTTCATTTTTTTAAGCAGTTATAAAACTAGCATCAGATAGTCCTTTTGTTTTTCAAAAACTTTCTTTTTGTTTTGGTTGTATAAAACAATGATCGGGGTTGGGCCCACCAATTATGAATAGCAAGTTTTGTTAAATGATCTCTTTGTTGAATGATCTTTTTACGCAATATGATGAACTGCATTACCTTTGCTTTTGTAATCTTTAGAACAGTAAATGCCTTGCTCTTGAATTGATTCATGAACCGGATAATGGCTTACAACCGATCAAAACATAAAATACAACTCGATAATGGAAAAACGAAATGAAAACAACTCGATAATGGAAAAATGAAATGAAAACAACTCGAAAAAGCTAACAAACACTTGGTACAGACAAAACAAAACTCAAAAGTACAATTGAAGTTCATTCAAACAAAGGTCAGCATATGCTGTAGAGACCCTAATTTTTGTAATTACCATTAAATCCCTAACCTTTAGTTTATTTCAGTAAAGCCCTTGAATTTTTATTTAATTGCGTTTTAAACCCTAGAATCAGAAAGCATCGCGGATTAATTCAAGTAAACCCTAATCGATCCCGGTAGATTAATAATCACCTTTAAAACCATATTATTAATTATTAGACCCTATAATTATAGATTCATCACTTTAAAATCTTAATTCCCGGTAACGTCGTTTTTGCTCGGTTTCTCGCCTTTGTTTGCGCTTTAATTTAACAGGATCCAAATTTATTATTTTAACTATTTTCTAAGGCTAGTATATTGTATGCTAAATATCAAGGTTTCATAAATTTAGACTTGGTCCCTATACACTTTTATTTTATTACATTCCAACCCTTAATTGTAATATTTTATTAATTAATGTACTTGTATTATATTATGTTTATAAATACAAATATCTCATACAAATATCATATATATACATATATATGTCTTGGAGCCCAAGTTGTTGACCATGTGATGGATAAAAGGGGCCATAATTGCAACTTTGACAATTTGCACTTAGGGAACTTAGTCCCCAAGAAACCTTCCCAATCTTTTCTATATACCCGATTACACACCTATATTTCTCCCCCCTCATTATATACATTTTCAGCCATCCACTAGAGGAGTGAGAGAGAGTGATCTTGGAAAAAAAAAGAGAGGGAGAGAGTGAGATAGAAGAAGAGGAGAAAGAAAAGGAAGAATTGTGTTAGTCTTGTACAACAAAGGTAACATACAACACCTCTTCTCTCAAGTTCTCTTACCACTTGTTTTTCCCCTCCTAATACATGATCTTTGTATATATATTGTAGTCTAGGCCACACTCTTGTATAATGTGTGTAATTAATCAAGAAATGGTATGCTTCACTTTCTTTCTTAAATTTCCAGCAGCAAATCTTTTCCCTCTCTGAATTTATTTTCCCATCAAAACTCCATAAAACTCAAAATCTGTTTTTTATGGTACAATATTTGGTATGTCTAGAGTATGTGGTAATTTTTTAGGTCCTAAGGATGAGTTTTTATAACCTAAACAATTTTTTCTAAGTTTGTTACTCACAGAACCAGAAAAACAGTCAACTTTATCTATTTTTAGAAAATTCCAGAAAAATAATCTTGAGTCCAATTTTATGTCAAAATCTTAATCTTGGTGTTATATTTTAACTAAAATTTGTTTGAACTCAAGAGAGTGAGGGGTTTGAGAGAAAAACCGATTTGCGTAACGGTCAACGAATCTGGACAGAATCTTGGTAATTCTGAATTATCTTAAAATCTAAAATACCTATCCTATATTCGTAAATTGGGTTTGAAACTAGACTTATTTATCTACAAACTCACATGAGGCCAGGTACTTAGGGCCAATAAAAGTATTTTTTAAAATTATTTTCGAACTGGTTTCAAAATCTGGAAATCTGGAAATTTGTGTTAATATGCCTCTTATTTGGTTTGCAACTCTTATATTCTATGTTTCTTGAATGTGTTAGTCTCGATATGTAATCTGTGATAAATTGTAAATTTTCTTTACCATGAATAAATTACTTGTTGTTCAGTTTGGATCGCGTAATTATACTGACCATGGCTTTGCTATAACTGAGAACATATAACACTTAATAAAGGGGAAATCAAATGGATGGTAATGGGTTGCGATCATTGTATTTGATTTTATGAGATAATGAACGATGGATTGAAGAGTATCATATAGTGGAATGTGTTCCATTTTTGTGAAGTCCTGCGCAAGTGTGTTTTCGAACCCTAACATGGCACGGGAGGTATTCTGGCTGCTTAACGGAAATGGGAGGCATAAGGGTGGCAGTGAGGGTCTCACATAGGGAGAGTATCCCTGGAAGCCCGTTTCCTTGGGGCAGACCGTGATGTCACCACTTGGGTAGGTAACCTAGGTGCGTGGGCATCATTGGTAATTGTGCGGTAAGCGAGCATTGGTATTGTATACCAAGGGGGAGTCAGAATTGCCCGTGGCCAGAGTTAGTGGTTGGGTAGAAATGGCATTCCCGGGGAGTTGCCTAGAACTAACTAAAATTGACTATTATTCATGAGAACTGAAATTTAATTATAATCTCTGCTTGATTATTACTTTCGTTGTATGTTATGACCATGCCATTATGTTAATTGTGTATTTGGAATGGGAAAAGGTT